GAGGGGGCATTTCCCCCATGCGGTCTTACTGGTTGTAAACACCCCCCAGAGCACAGCTAATGAAAAAAATGTAGCAAATAATTTGGGACTTATGAGTTTTGGATTTTTATTACCTTTGTTTTTAATATAATTTATCTCATTGTAAGTTTAACTGATGTAGCTCTTAATAGTGTCTGTGCATAAACAGTGATTCACAAAATTCCTTAAAAATGCTTTGGCTCCTGTGGGCTGGATTGCACTGGTTCCACGGTACCACGGTGCTGCCCAGCCCCCAGAGGAAACGGCTGCCTGTTCGTGGGTCAAGAACTTTTTCAGCCAAAACCGGTTTGGCTCAGTGGATAGAGCATTGGCCTTCGGACTGAAAGGTCCCAAGTTTGATTCCGGTCAAGGGCATGTGCCTTGGTTGCAGGCACAGCCCCAGTGTGGGGTGTGCAGGAGGCAGCTGATCAATGTTTCTCTCATTGATGTTTCTAACTCTCTATCCTTCCCTCTTCCTCTCTGTAAAAAAATCAATAAAATATATTAAAAAAGAAAAGAGCTGTTTCAACCAAGTAGGGGGCCTGGAGGGACCCTGAAAGCTTGATTTTGGTGAAGGACTGTGCCAGTCTGCAATGCGCAATGAAACCGAAGGTGTCACTAACTCCCTGACTGGGATTTATGTCCCTGAGATGTTCCCAGGCTGCAGGGCGGGGCTGCAGGGCGGGCACACGCCTACTTTGCATGGTCAGCTGATCCTGCTCCATGGAGGAGGCAGGGAGAGTGAGATAGATGTGCCAGGCAGGGGTCCTGCAGAAGTTAGGCTCCCATAGGAGAGAGACGGCACACCCAGATTAGCATCACATGAGGGGTATTTGAGGAAGAGACTTTACAAAGATGGGGGCAGGTGGAAAGGGACCACAGAGACACAGCAGCGCCCCAGACCCAATAGCTCAGGGCTTGGTTACCTTCCTTAGGCCTGAAGGTGCAAGCAGCGGTGAGGGGAGAGTTGCTGAGATGGAGAGAGGGGGCTGGAGGGAGTGGGACACTAGACAGGAAATGGGACCTTTGACTGCAGAAGGGACTCAGGAAATAAACACCCTTGACCTCCCTCTCCTTCCTTCTGCTCCTTCTATCCCAGCTCCCCATTGGCTGGACTCACCCAAAAAGCCAGAGGGCAAGGAAGCCCGTTGTGCCAGTCTTGGGCCACTGGAAAAAGGTAGACGCGGTCTGCAGGGTCCAATGGCAGGTAGCGTGGGTACCTGGCCAGGGAGCGGTGATCCTTTGTCTTGGGTCTTCTGGAACTGCCATGGACCATCTTCCCTCCAGAAACATTCAGGCCTGGTCACCTGTCCTGCTGGGGAGGGGGCATCTGTGGAGGTGCACGCCTTCTCGTCTAGCCTGCTAGAAGTTCCGGGTCAGGAGAAAGGGCTGGGGAGCAGGCCCTGGGCATGGTTTCACCCTCCACTGCCAGGGCCATCCCCAGGGCATGCTTTCTGCCTAGCCACCCCTTGCCTCCATCTGAGATTCTGCAGCGTCCTCTTCTATGGAAACTTGGTTGGGGAGCCTGGGAATTTGGGAGACCTGGGTGTCTCCTTCCAACCATATCCTGAGGAGTTACCCGACCTTATCACTAATCAAATGTTCTCACCTGCCAGACCAGGGGCCTGGGCCAGGTGACCATGACTTCCAGGAAGACCTCTGTCTAATTCCACAGCTTTAGGAGCGGCCTCTCCAGGTCCCTTGCATAATGAAGTCTGTCTTTCCACAGCCAGGAGGTGGCAGCAAAGCTCTGTTTTAAAGGGGCCCCCAGGCCAGGATAGGCTCTGCTCTCCAAGGCCCCTCAGGGCTCAAAGACCAGGTATGGTGGCTGGATCTCACTGCTGAACAATAACAATAATGATGATGATGATGATGATAATAATAACAACAGAAGCAACATCATTATTTTTATCTCTGTTGTTAGTAAGACAGCCACAATGCCCGCTCCGGTTGGGTAGTGTTCTATGGTGGAGGAAAGCTATGCAGTGTCCTATAGGGATCTTTCAACACCACCACAGTGCAGGTAGGAAGCGCTGGGCTTGCAGCCCATGTTGAGGCTGAGAGACATCCTCAGACTCCCCAGGCCTCCTGGAAAGTAGGATGTGCCAAGACAGAAGCCCAAGCTTTCATCCTGTGCGTGTCTCACCATGTGCAAATCCCCTACTTCCCTCTTCATCTTGGAGGGGCCAGGGGTACCCAACCCAAGACCCAGGGCCTGGATTTGGTTTCCAGTTGCCATGTGGGTGCTGGGGAAGAACACTCAGCACAGGAATCCATGTTCATCCCCTCCTCTTTCTTCCAGCTCTCAGAAAAATTTTAAAATCTTTATTTTATCATTGACAGGGCATACTTGGTGTCTAGGTAGGAAAGTTTCTCATTCATTCATTTATTTATTCATTCATCTCTCCATTCAATAATTGGGATTCTGCTGTAATATAAGACATGGTATGTACTATGAAGGATGTAAAAATGTTCTTTCTCTTCTAACTCAGAGGTCTGGGAACTAGGGGCTGGGGTGTTGGGGCTAAGTAAATGCAGAGATACTTGGGGTGGCCTCCTCCTAGGGGGTCCCTGGGTGAATTGGGGAGTACTTGAGCAGATGGAATTTAGATCTGCTCTTGTTAGGTGTCAGGGAGGAGTGACGCCATAGGAATCTGCATGGTGTATTACCTTCTCAAACCAAAGGAAACTCCTGAGAGACACAGCCCAAGCCTCAGACTGTTGTCCATCTGGATCCTGTCTTACACTCTGCCTGTGTCCCCAAGCCATGTCTCCCCTCCCCATCATGATAACAGGTTACCAGTGCTGTAGACCAAGCTCTAGACTAAGGGCACTTCTTTCTTTTTTTAAAAAATATATATTTTATTGATTTTTTTTATAGAGAGGAAGGGAGAAGGAGAGTTAGAAACATTGATGAGAGAGAAACATCAATCAGCTGCCTCCTGCCCACCCCCCTACTGGGGATGTGCCTGCAACCAAGGTGCATACCCTTGACAGGAATCAAACCTGGAACCCTTTAGTCTGAAGTTCTATCCACTGAGTCAAACCAGTTAGGGCCTAAGGGCACTTCTTGAATATTCTTATTTACCTCTCAAAACAACCCTATAAAGTCCATTGTTATGCCCATTTTACATGTGAGAAAGCTGACACTTAAGTCATGAGGGAATTTTCCCCAAATCACAACGATAGTGCTTGGTGGGCCAGGACTGGGACCTAAGGGCTGGCACCCAGGGCTCTTACCACTGCAGCATCATCACACATGGGAACATCCTCCCTCCAGAGCTCTGCCTGTGTGTGAGTCTGAAGAGCCGCCCTCTCTTTTCCTGCTCACCACTGGGCACCCTACCCGGCCTGCATCGCCTCTAGAAAATGAGGGTGCTGATACCGCCCCATGTCCCGATGGGCTTGTGGGAGACTGGAATGGGAAAAATGGGCATGTGAACACTTAGCATCATACAAAACCAATCTTGTATGTGCTATGGCAGTGACAGTGATGATGACAATAGTGAGGATGCTGATGATAGTGATAATGGTGATGTCAGACCTGACCTCAGAATCATTTCCTGTTACCACCCTGCTGCCAGCCCTCAGCTCCCAGCCCTGCTGTGTCCAAGTCATGCAGGGGTGGGCTGGTGATGAAATGGAAAGGAGGCTCTCCAAGGATTGGTCTAAGACATTGAAGGATGCCAGTCTCATTGCCTGGGACACAGTAGCCCAGTACTTACCATCAGTTAATGGCTTTAGTAAGACACAATTCACAGTTATACAACCATCAAGCAATCAATTGTGGAATATTTTTGTTGCCTCTAAAAGGTGCCCTGCCCTTTGCTGCCCACCCAGTGTCCCAGTGAAGCTGTGATTACTATTACCTCTGCCTTACAATCAGCACATTGGGGCTCAAGGAAGAGACTGACTGGCTCAAGGCCACACAGTAGGAATGTGACAGCATCAGCATTCCATCCAGGTTTGCTGGAACCAACAGTCCGTGCTCTGACCACACTGGGCAGCACTTTAGGTTCAGAGAACACGTGTAACCAACCCCAGGCCACACAGCTACAGACATTAAGAGGTAGCCTGGGACTCAAATACAGTGTTGGCTCCTAATCCTGTTCCTTCAGGGTAAGCAAATGATATAAGCAGAATCTGAGGGGTCCCTGGGCCTGGGAGTGAGCTCTAAAACTAGCAGTAGCTCCTTTATTGGTGCCTGGTCCCAGCCTCAGGCCTGAGTCTGGAAGTCAGTGGCTCCTGGGGCCCAGCTGCTCCCTTCACTGGTGGCCCCAAGCATCATGAGGGGAGTCCATCCAGGTTGAGGGGAGTGACCCAGCCAGAGGAAGGAGCAAAGCTTGCAACACATGCCCCTTCCAGTCCTCCGAAGCACCTGCCTTCCCAGGAGTGGAGCATCTGGGAGTACCTACTACCTCTCCACTGCCCTGGAGCTGTGGGTGGGTCTGAGAGGAGGGTAACGCGGTCCCAGGAGGGATGGGATGGGATGGGAAGCAGACATGCTTGAGAGAAAGAGCCCTGGGTAGAGTCTGTGAATCTTTGGGTCTACTCTCCACTCTGCCCTGAACAACTACCGTCAGAGAACTACATCCATCTGGGCCTAGTTCCCCTATCTGCAAATTTAGGGAGAAATGGGGGGATGAATTGGAAAGAATCATGAGTTCTAGGAAGAAAATGGGCTGTAGTTACCCGAAAGGTCTTTCTTTTGAAATGCTATGGGAGCCAGTGATTTATCTGGCAATGGGCTGGACTTCCCCTTTCTCCTTGGGGGCAAGGAGCCTCCATGGTCACATTCCTTTCTCTCTTTAAATGAAGGAGAGATCAGGCAAGGATCTAAAAGGCAGCCCACGGGAGAGCGCTGGGCCGCGGTAATAAACACAGAGGAGTCGAGTGTCTGAGTAGTTAGGAGAATTTATTTCTCACAATATCTTCCCTCCACTCGCCTAGAGGTGCCCATGGCAACAGGAATCAGGAGGGCCTCATTCTTCCATCTTCTGCGGGAGAAAAAAAATCGTACACAGGATATGAGTCAAACCCAAGGCGAGGCTGAGTGTCGTCTGCAAGTGGGGCGGCTGCAAGGGCTGGAAGCTCAGGTAAATATTACGGATGCATGACCCATAACCAAAGCAAGGTCCTCAAGCCCGGGGGAAGGAGTCCACCCCCTGGAAAGTGGGGCCTCTGGCCTCGGGGAGGGATGGGAGTGATAAGATGTGGCCCCTGGTCCCTTGCTTTTCTCCTCGTTTTTCTTTTTTAGCTACAGGTTCTGGCTAAAGTAGTGGCATCTGTGAGCCAACGGCTAGCACAGGGAAGAGGCACCCACAGATACCCTCCGAACCCTCCCTGGGGCTCAGCACATCTAGGGAAGAAGTCTGCTCTCACCTGGCCCCCAACATCTCGGCTCTTGGCCCTCAGTTTGTTGACCTGGGACTCGGCGATGTCTGCCCGCTCCTCGGCCTCCTCCAGCTCGTGCTGGGCCCTCCGGCATCTGGACAGCTGTGTGTTGGCCTGCTCCTCCTGAGCAGAAGACAGAGGGGTCCGAGGCTGAGCAGCCCCTTACTCTGGCTCTGAGGGCCTAGGCCCTGCAGGTTTCTGGGGAACTGGGGAACCAGGACAGCTTGGGTCCCAGCTTCACGGATGGCAGAGGAGAGAAGGCCGAGCAATCCAGGGGTGAGGATGCAACCTGCACCTCTGTGTCCCTGCACCCCTTTTCCGTGCCTTCTCTCCCACAGGAGCTTTTTGAAAGAGACCCAAGTCCAGAGTCCTCCCAGGGCACCTGTAGGTGTCAGAGACCAAAGGCCCAAGTCCCCATTGCCCTTCTCCTGCTCCCAGCATCATCTGCCTGTGGCTGGGCCAGTGTCTGGGTCTGTTTCAGCATTAGCCAAGGGTTCCTGACAACGGTGGCCTTCTGGGCCCCCTCAGGCTGGCCAGTCCCCCTGCCACTGTTCTAATGCGATGAGCACGTGTCTCCATGCTACGTAACCAGCGCAGATCTGTCCCTTTGATGTCAAGATAGAACCAACCAGCCCCCCAGGCAGGAAAGAGAACGGGCAAGGAGAGGAGCCCCATGCTCAGGCATTTATCTAGGGCAGGGTCCCCCTGTTTTTTCCTCAGAACACTGGCCCTATGGGAAGTTCTGCATACTTTCGCCAGAACAAGGTGCCCAGGCCCATGAAGGGTGGGAAATGCTGCAGTCTAGAATGCCTCTTCCACTTTGCAGAGCCAGTTACATGTGACCTACAGAATCTGAGAAATCCTTGCAGTAAAGCAAGCAGTTCAACGTTTTTTAAATGCAGCATTTCCAATGGATTTCTTTTCTATAAAAGAAAACCCCCTCCCCATGGTTGTCCTCTTCCCCTTTACCCCCCCCCCCCCCCATCACCACCAGCAGCTTCCTGCTGTTGGAACCCCTCAGGCCCAATGTCCCCAGGAGATATTTTGGGAAATGCCGGTTTCAGCCCATTTCATTTCTTCCCTGCTGGTGTTCCCTGTTTGATGGAGGGCAGATCACAAAGGAAGGACTGGGGTGAGGGCATCACGGAGGGCTCAGGAAGAGCAGGAGTGGGGGTGCGCAGGATGGGGACCAGGGAGGGGAGTGGGATGAGGTGTCAAAGGTCAGGTCACAGGGGCAGGACGGCTGGTGGGGTGGGCTGAGGGTGAAGCGAGGCCAGAGGTGGACTAAGATGCGCTGGGGTGGGTGGGATAGTGTGAGCTGGGCTGAGGCCCAGTGAAGGGATGGGGGCAGCAGGTGACATGGGGTGAGGCAAGGGCACAGAGGAAGAGGTGGGCAGGATGTGTTACACAGACCGGGAGAGGGATGGCATAGGTGTCCTTGCTTTATGGCCTGTGAAAACCGCCTGAGCTCTGTGGACTGTAGGAAACAGGACATACTCCCAGCAGGGCTGAGGGATACTCAGGCCGTCTGGGCCCATGAGAGCTCCCCCACTTACGGCCTCCTCGGCCTGCCTCTTGTACGCCTTCACTTTGGCCTGCAGCTTGTCCACCAGGTCCTGGAGCCTCAGGATGTTCTTGCGGTCCTCCTCGGCCTGCGAACAGAGAGTCCTGGCCAGGCCCCGGCCACTGCCGCCTCCCACCAGACCACTCCCCCAGGCCCCGTGCCTCTACCTGGTAAGTCATCTCCTTGACTTTTCGCTCGTATTTGTGAGTCCCCTTCAGAGCTTCGGCTCCCCTTTTCTGCTCAGCATCCAGCTCGTTTTCCAACTCCCTCACCTGGTAAAGAGAACACGGAATGCAGGCCAGACTGCCCCAGCTCTCCGTGGCCTGAGTGCCTGTCCTAGCAGGGTGATCTCAGCATCTCCTCCGAGGACACAAAAGCCATGTGTACTCACGAGGCCACCACGTCTGCACGTGGTGGACTCTGTACAAATGAGAACAAGGCACCACTGTGGTCAGGGGCAGCCGCAGGGGCACAGGGATCCAATATCAGGTCCGGCTTTGCAAGGAAGCCGCTTCCTCTGGCGCCTGCAGCCTGGCCAGAGCTATGCCTCAGCCCGGCTTGCCCCGCAGGCAAAGACTGCATGGCTGCTCCAGGTGGTCCGGCTCCTGACCCAGTGAGACAACGGGGGTCCTGGCGAGAACCGGAGCCAGGAGCAGTCTGGGACGCGCTCAAGTCCAGGTCAGCTGAGTGAGCTGAAGCAGGGCAGCTGCCCGCACTGGGAATGAGTTTTTGTGCGATTGGGGTGGAGATGACCATTCCTGCCCAAACTTCCACCCATGTGGGATCGAATGACACCAAAGGCCTGGAAGTGTTAATGTCACAGCTGTGTCCACCTTGCCTGAAGTCTTGGCAACAGAGGACAGCCATCAAGAATGCAGGTCACCAGTGGTGGCCCCAACTCCGTGATCAGAGAGAGCCTAAAGAGAGGTTGGGGTGGCAGCCAGCAAGTGGGAATCCCGCTGCCATGGGCAGGGTGGCTCTGGGCTTGCAGACTCCTCAGCTCAGTTTTGTAATCTACCAGTGGAAAAGACCACCACTGGCCCTGGCTCCAAACAAGATCCCACCCCCACCCATACCCGGTGGGTCCTGGGAGCTGTCTGCCTTCAGGTTCTACAAAACTTCTTTCCTGGGGGGAGCTCTCCAGGCCTCTGTACGGTTTATGAACCCAGCGTAACTGGGCAGCTGGCAATGGGAGGATGTTGAAGGCTCCTCATCCTGCAGGGGTGAGGAGGGGGGTAAGGGACCCCTGCCAACCCAGGAATCACAGAATCCGAGGGTGGCAAGGAATCCAGTTCCTTCCTCAAGGCCTAAGCTCATGCTCATAGAATAGGCCTAGAAATAATTAAAAATAAACATGTAAATATATTTTTTTGGAAGCTCTGACTTTCCCAGTGTTGACTTTTGCTACTCATGCTGCGTTGTTTCCAGCCAAAAATCCCTTCCCCGTTTCAAGTGTGCCGTACTGGGACCACCTCCGGGGGAGGCTGGCTGGGAGAATGACTGTATTTGGGTCTTTCCTGCTGGGATAAGTGGTCTCCTTCTCTCGGTGGCCTCCTCCTCCTCCTCCTCTTCCCCTCCCACTCTTCCATTTCCTTTCTCCCAGGGACAAGAGGCATCTGACAACCTCCTCCACACAGTCCTTCTTCAACATACTCACTGGTGGCAGAGCCCATTTAAAAAACCAATTAAATATACCATCGCAGGCCTAAAGGGAAACAAGCAACAAAGGGACCGAGCAGCAAAGAAACTCAACAACCATGAAGCCTACTCCCAGGTGACAAAGTGCAGGGCTGCCAATCACCCTCCCCGGGATGCCCCGGATGCCTTCAGAGATGGAGAAGTCAGGGGAGGGAGGGGGGTCCAGGAGTGGGAGGTGGAGGGAGACTCCAGACTTTATACAGGACGGGCCACTATTTATCGAAGTGGAGATTGGTCCAAAATTTAAATCCCACTAAAACGTGTACTGTTTAAATTGTAAACTGTATCTCCTCCCCCCTCCCCTCCTTTTATGTAGGTCTGAAACTCTATAAAGCCAGAATACAAACACTTACAAATGTCATCACTGCAGTTGCTGAGGCAGAAGCATTCTACAGTGAATTTGTGTGAGTTGGGGTAGAGGGATGGGCGAAAAGAAAGCAGGTGGGACATTTGGCTCACGGGGAGTTTTGCAAGAAGTCCTCAAACTAAGTCTGGAGCCTGCTTAGTCAATGGCCACTTTCCCACCACCCACTGTGGTTCTGCCCAGGGACCGGGAATCACTTTGGGAGGGAGTCCCCTCGGGCCAGCTACCCGGTTCTCCAGCTTCTGGATCTGCTTCTTCCCGCCCTTCAGGGCCAGCTGCTCAGCCTCATCCAGACGGTGCTGCAGGTCCTTCACCGTCTGCTCCAGGTTCTTCTTCATCCGCTCCAGGTGGGCACTGGTGTCCTGCTCCTTCTTCAGCTCCTCGGCCATCATGGCCGCCTGGGTAAGTTCACAGAAAACATCCGTGGGCCATCCGCCCATCCCACCCCTCTCCGGAGCACGTGCAAGATGGTAAGGTTGGCGCTGTGTGTGCTGATGCATAGCACTCCCCCACGTTGCTAGTCCATCTCTTCATGAAGCCACCACTGACAGATTTAGGTCTTAAGGAGATGGACCTGTGTGTCATGCCCAGACTTAGAAACCCCTTCTTCTCTCCCGAGCATCTCTGAGAAGAAAGAACGGAGCTCACGTCCGTGATGGCTTTCTTGGCCTTCTCCTCTGCATTTCTGGATTCCTGGACAGCGTTCTCCACCTCTGCCTGGCACTGGGCTATGTCAGCTTCCAGCTTCTTCTTGATGTTTATCAGGCTTGTATTCTACAAGGAAAATTATGTACCGGGAGTGTAGGTTGTAATTGGATAATACTTCAAGCAATCGGCAGGGAGAGGGCTTGGTGGGGAAGGACATAAACCATGATCAGGTTTATTCCTCATTTCCACACGGGGTTTGCTAGACACTGTTTTGGTCTTGACCAAACAGAACATCCCAAGAGAGACCCAAGAATTGCACATGAAATAATTGAATAAAGGATAAAAGTGGGCTTTCAAATATTTGAGGAAGAACAGATTATTCAAAAAGGTGTTGGAAGAAGGAAATGATTTGTTGACATAGCTATATAAAATGAAAAATAATTCTAATGACCAAAATATACCATAAATGGAATTGTAAAAGTGATTACAAACTGGAATACATTTGCAATGATTATTACTGAAAAATATTCTCTGCTTAATGTAAAACAAATCAATGAGCAAAAAGGGCAAGAAATAAAAATAGGTAAGACGCAATAGAAGAAATGGAAGTGGCAAAAAATATGATGAAATGTCTACCTCAGAAATCAAAGAAATAAGAATTTTAAAAAAGGCAATATTTTTAACAATAAAATTGGTCAAGTTTAAAAAATAATAGCTAAGGTCTTAGAGAATTTATAAGAAAGAGCTCCCAATGGGTAATAAAAATTGGGGCAACTTAATTAAAGATCAGTTTACAGTATATTACAAATTTATTTATTTCTAGAATATTAGGAAAATAATAATAATGGATATATGTGAAAACTTAGTTTACATAAGCAGTTTTTCTAATAGTAAATTTTAAAGATGTTCATCATAGCAGTTTTTCTAACAGCAAATGTTTTTGGTGGAATGATATAAAACATCTAATCAGAGAATTAGTTAAATAAAAATGCCATAATACACAACTAAAATGGACTACTTTTCTGTCACTAAAAACAGTTATAGAAAACTCTCTAAAGAAACATATTCATGACACACTGCTAAATGAAAATAAGTTGCAAAATGTTTGATCACATTTTTACAAGAAATATAATATTTATTGACATAGACAAGGGCTTAGCATGAAAGGTCTCAGAATGTTAACAATATGGCTAGCACTTTTCTTCTGCTTCTTTGCTTGGATTCTCTATTTGCCTATAAAGAGAAATTTTTAAAAAAAAACTTCCATAAAAATGACAAAAGTAATTATTTTGAATGATAATCCTAACTTTCTAAGATTATGGCTTCTACCATGAAGCCTTCTCCAGCCCCTTCATGCAGCCATTCACACGTCCTTGCTCTGCCTTCCCACAACACGCATGACCTTCTATGTTCAGAAGAATAACGCCCCCTGGAGGGAGCCCGGATGCACCTGGGAGTGCAGCAGCTGCACCCGGTCGCTAGCGTCCAGCAGCTCCTGCTCAGACAGCCTGCGGGTCCTCTCCGTCTGCTCCAGGGCCACCTTCATCTCCTCCAGCTCCTCCAGCAGCAGGCCGCTTCTGCGCTCCGTGATGGCCAGCTGCTCCTTGAGGTCCTCATTGCTCCGCAGGGCGTCGTCCAGCTGCAGCTGGGAGTCCTGCAGGGGACAGCAGGAGTGAGGCCGGAGCCCACAGGCCAAGGGCCCAGTCGCCTCCCCCTCCCCAAAGCTCCATGGTCACCTTGAGCTGGCCCTGGACTGTGCGCAGGTGCTTCTGGGTCTCTGCCAGCTGGCGGTTGGAGTGGCCCAGCTGGATCTCCATCTCATTGAGATCTCCCTCCATCTTCTTCTTCAGCCTCAAGGCATCGTTCCGGCTCTGGATCTCTGCATCCAGCATGCTCTGCATGGCCTCTGCCGCCCGCTGGCTGTTTCTCTTTAGCTGCTCGATTTCTTCATCCTTCTCCGTGACCTTTCGGTCAAGCTCGGATCTTACCTGGTTCAGCTCTAGCTGGACACGCAAAATCTTGCTCTCTTCATGTTCCAAGGAGCCCTGGTAAAAGCACAGGAGCGATTGGAAGTGCTGTGGACACTTGAATGGATATTTTCCACTGTTAAGAGAAAACTAGAGGCCCAGTGCACAAAATTCGTGCACAGGTAGGGTCCCTAGGCCTGGCCAGTGATCAGGACCTTCTGGCTGCCAGCCAGGACTTTCCTTTGTTCTGTGCTGCCTCCTAGTGGTCAGCACATGTCATAGCAAGCAGTAGGACTCACAGTAGGTTGCACTCCAAGGACAATTTGCATATTAGCCTTTTATTATATAGGATGGGTATGATAATAACACCCATTTTACAGATGAGTAAAAAACACTCAAGAAGCTCAAACGACTTGCTCCCTTCTAGTAATGAAACTGGAACTAAGCCTTTGTTATTAGCAACCAGGTCTTGAGGGGGGAATTAGGGAACATTTTATTGAGTGTGTCTATTTAATAAGGCTATAAGTCAGGAGCCAACCTATTCTCTAAAATGTCAGGGCAATTGCTCTCCCTTTATCCCTTTGTAAAACTTGACAAATTTACGCACATTTCCCTAGAAGCTTCTCGAGAGCGCTGCCCTGCACTGGCCTCAGCTGAGTGTGAGCTCAGGTCATTGCACTGTGGTCAGTGCAGGACACCCAGTAGCTAGAGGTGATCATGTGCTATGTTAAAAACCGGTGCTTTGGATGTGTGGTGAAGGATTTCTTGCTTTCCAAGAGGAAACACTGAAGACATAACAAACAAGTGTATTTATCTTCAAAAGGGGAGACAGGATGGACTATGGGACACAGAGGACGCAGCAGGGCCCAGCTGTCTCCTGGGGCCTCCCAGCAGGAAGCCCCACCCCCCACTCCCGCCCAGGGGTGCGCTGGTCCTTCCTTCAGCGCCCACCCTCCTAAGCTCCCTTGTGCTGCGTCCCAGAACTTACCTCCACCTCCTCGAGGGCAGCCTGGAGCTCCAACTTTTCCTGCTCCACTTGCTTCTTGGTCTTTTCCACTTCCTGAAGATGCTTGCCAGTTTCCGCCATTTGCTCGGTTAGGTCTGAAATCTCCTCTGCGGAGGACAGGCTTGATTTAGGCTGCGCGACAGGCTCTGAGGGGCGGCTCAGGCCTCGGCAGGAAGCTGAGGGCCAGCAATTCACTCCGGACATTCATGTGGGAGAGAGAGGCGAAGCTCTCGGATGAGGTGTGAGTGGAGGGAGGTGGGTTGCCACACCTGAGCTGTGCAGAGAGCCAGTGAAAGAGCACCCAAGCCTCCCAAAGCTCTGCATGGCCCAGAGGACGGAGGAGAGAGTGTGGAGAGCATGCACAGGCCGGCATGCCGCACTGAGGCGGGATCCGGGGAAATGTTCTCCCACGGGGACCTCAGGGCCCCACTGTGCCCTCTGGTTTAGAGGATGCGACTTTCTGCCACTGTGCCTTTCACAGGAGGCCTCAGGCCTCATGGTGGACTGACCAGATGTGCGGATTTGGGGGCAGTGGGAAGGAGGAGGCGTCCGGAGGTGGTTGTGCTCAAGGTGGAGGGGTGGCTGGCTGAGAAGGGGCATATTACACGCCTGTGGTGGTCAGAGAGCTCACCTTGCAGATTTTTAATTTTCATTTAATTTTATTTTTTAGAGAAAAAGAGAAACATTGATTGACTTCCTCCCGCATGCACCCCAACTGGGGATGGAACCCACGCCCTAGGTATGTGCCTGGACCGGGAATTGAACCTGCCACCTTTTGGTGTATCTGACAACGCTACAACCAGCTGAGCCACACCGGCCAGGGCTCACCTTGCAGATTCTTATTCTCCCGCCTCAGTGTCTCCAGCTGATCCACCACCTCCTCGTAGGCGTTTCGCATCTTGAAGATCTCGGTGCTCAGGGACCTGGACTCCTTCTGAGCTGCTTCCAACTCAGCTTGGCCCTCATCCAGCTTCTGCTTCCACTCTGCCAGGACCTGGGGGAGTGAGCGGGGGAGGAAGAGACACACAGGGCATGTGAGGGGCAGGAAGGGCAGGGGACTGTCCGCAACACCGAGGTTTACCCTTCCACCCTTAGGACCAGAGAGACAGGGGCCCCTTCTAGAGCAGCCCCCAGGCTCTGATATCCCTGCCGCAATCCACCGTGTTCTTAAAGGTGTTTTCATCTCAAAGGAAGCAGAATTAGCTTTAACTAAAGAGAGAATTCCCTTTAGAGGGACTGTCACCAACGTCAAGTGACACGGTCCATCCCCAAGCTCCCCGGACGGGCCATCCTGCCCTGCAGGCTGTGTGAGCCTCTCACACGTGGCTGTGAGGGCCGTCACTCTCATCGCGGCCACACCACGGTGTGGGAGGAAGGACCTTGTCAAAGTTCCTCTGCTTCTTGTCCAGGGTGGCGCAGGCGGCGTTGGCCCGCTCCAGGCCCAGCATCAGGTCGTCCACTTCGCCCTGGAGCCGCTGCTTGGTCTTCTCCAGGGACGCGCACTTGGCGCTCACCGCCTCCGTGTTCTCCTCCGCCTCCTGGAGCCTCTGGGCCAGCTTTTTCCTAAGAGAACCAGACGTGTCTCCCTTGGCAAAGGTGGATTATCTCAGGAGGGCCATACGGGAAGAGAAACAAGCAGTCTACAGGGACTGGACCTGGACAAGAGCAAGACCTAGAGTTTGATGAATAGAAAGGATTTATGTAACATCCGAAGGGTCCCAAAGAGCTTGGCCACCGAGGGGGGCACCGGGGAACTGGGTCGAATGGACGGTACCCATAGGAAGGACAGGAGCACCTACGTGGATGCTCAGAAAGCCCAGGGCCTGGGGGGAAGGGGTGTTCCAGGGAGGATTGGTTCTCTGTTCCTTCGCCTGTGCCTCGGGGTCCCCTCTCCTATGTAACCTGGGCCCGTACTTGGCCTCCTCCAGCTCCTCGGTGCGCTGGATGGCGTCCGTCTCGTACTTGGTCCTCCACTGGGCCACCTCGCTGTTGGCCTTGGACAGCGCCCTCTGCAGCTCGGCCTTGGCCTCCTGCTCCTCCTCATACTGTTCCCGCAGCAGGTCACAGTCGTGGCGGGAGGACTGCAGGGCGTGGGCCAGGGCGTTCTTGGCCTGTGGGAATCGCAGTGGTGACAAAGACATGGCAGAGACATGTGGCCGTTTCCCAGGTCACGGTGTTTTCACGTAAACCAGCACTTCCCCCAGTTGAATCGCCATTTCCTTGCTGCCTTCCCAAACTTCGCTGTCACAGCGCCTCGCCTATTGTGTTCCCTTAATTTTTAGAAAGATGACGCCTTTGTTCTATATCTAATTTTATTTAATTACATTTAATTTAGAAATAAACTGTCACACTACCGCAGGTGGAACACCGTGAACAGGTGCCACGATGAGAAGGCACCCCTAAGAATCAACGCAACGGAAGTGAGGCAGCAGTGTCGCCTTCTACGTGGGTCAGTACTGGGCCGCTGTGGCTCTGTGCCCGGGGCCTGCCCCCTAGGGGTCGGTAAGTAAATCGCCAAGTGCTAGAGAGCTGTCGTTCTCATGTGATCAGAAGAACTGAAACAGAAGTCGATGCAATGCTGTGGAGCCCTGCGACCGCAAAAACCCAAAAGCATCTTTGGTGCCGTCTGTGCACCCGATCTGTGCCTCTCCCATGCTCCGCCTCCTCTTCCTGAGAGGAGGCCACGCCCGAGGCCTCACACCCATCCCTGTCTGGGCAGGACCACGGACGGTTTAGCGCTCATCACACCAGTCACAAACACTCTGCGGTACCACCGAATGCAGCAAGCAACTTAGACATCTGCATCCCTTTAAAGACACATAAACAGCCAAAACCGGTTTGGCTCAGTGGATGGAGCGTCAGCCTGCGGACTGAAAGGTCCCGGATTCAATTCTGGTCAAGGGCATGTACCTTGGTTGCGGGCACATCCCCAGTGAGGGGTGTGCAAGAGGCAGCTGATGGATGTTTCTCTCTCATCGATGTTTCTAACTTTCTATCCCTCTCCCTTCCTTTCTGTAAAAAATCAATAAAATATAGATTTTTTTTAAAAAGACACATAAACAACAAGACTTTGTGGAGGAGAAGGTAGCGACCACGGTGTCCTGGCCCGAGGACGGCGCGCTCCATTAGTGGACCTGCTCCTGACGCCCTCGGGCTCCGGTTCTCACTGCTCCATGGCCCTCTCCGTACAACGGAAAGGTGGAGACACATGTAGCTCTGGCTCTTTTAGGCAGAACATGAGAGACTTCCAAAGGATGGCTCCAGAAGGCATCGCCAGTGCACGCGGCCCTTAGAATTACAATTACACACGTCTGGGGACTCCTGGATTCTCACTCTAATGAGCAGCTTCACTAAGCACCTGCTGAGTGCTCTGTCCTACTGTGCACTATTCCTGCTGTTTACAACTACATTGGGAATTATTCCTGCCCTCCAGGGGTTTTACAGATCAGTGGGAGACCTGCAATACAAACATAAAACGGCTAGATACTGGCATCAGGAACACGATGGTGACGTGTATGTTTATGTCGATGTCGCAGGGGTGTCTCTACAATCAGGCAATCTTTTCTGGGGGAGGGCAGCTTGCAATTGGGTATGGCAGTAGGGGCTACCCAAAGTGTGCAGAAGAAAGAGGAGGCCATCTTGAGGGCTCAGATGAATTGCTAGGCAGCGTGAAAGAATACACACAGGCAGGGATGTCAGGCCAAGGCAGTGGGGATTGGGGGGAAGGGGTGAGGGGGATGCCCCTAGCTGGAGAGGGAAGTGCATCAGAGCCCCCTGGGGGACAGAGGACCCAGAGGATGGAGCCCCCTGGAAGTTTTTTAGGGATGAGGAAGGAGGTCTGATGCCAAGGTCCCCTCACCTCGCAGACCTTGCTCCTGCACACTGCAGGCAGAGGACAGGCACCTGCATCTGTGATACAGCCCGCCTCCCACCAGCTCCGAGGCCTCCCTGCTCTCAAGTGCTATCTGACTCTGCCATCCCAGGAACGGTGGTCCTTACCTTGGTTTCTTCGTCCAGTTGCCTCTTCAGCTCCTCCAGCTGCTGGGTGAGGGCCTGCTTGCCTTTGGTGAGCTGTGAGACCAGCACCTCCTTCTCCTCCACTTGGTGGCTCAGCTCCCCTAACTCACGGATGGGGTGCCGGTCAGCCTTGCGCCTGCCTCCCCCCCGGGACCCGCCGCCCCCGCACTGCAGCACCCCACCTGGCCTCACCGTTTTGGGTCTGCAGTCTAGCCTTCTGCATGTTCAGATCGTGGAGTAGCTGTGTCTGCTGGTCGTCCTTGGCTTTGATTTCATTAAACTGGTCTTCCACAGTCCGGCACAGTCTCTCCACGTTACTCTTAAAAACAAGCCCACGTGAGTGGGGAATGGGTTCTTGGTGTCCAGAATGGCCCAGGCCCGTGGTAGGCAAACTGGCTCACGAGCTACATGTGGCTCTTTGGCCCCTTGAATGTGGCCCTTCCACAAAACACATGGCCTGGGAAAATCTATTTTGAAGAAGTGGCGTTAGAAGAAGTTTAAGTTAAAAAAATTTGACTCTCCAAAGAAATGTCCATCGTTGTCCTGTTGATATTTGGCTCTGTTGACTAATGAGTTTGCCGACCACTGGCCCAGGCTGTCTGACAGATTAGCTTCTTGTTAGGTTAAATGATAATATAGAGAGCATCCAGAGGTAAGTTTTCAAAAGTCATTTCCCGTGTGCTGTGTTTTTGTTTGTGGTTGTTGCTTAATCACCAATAGCTGGGAACAGCATGCCCGGTAGACAAGTATTTAGTGACTTGTGAGCAAACCTTTGAGAAACACCACTCACAGGAGCCCTGGGATCTCCTTCTAACATAAGCAGCTCTATTGCCATGTCAATAGCACGACCTCCTGATGTGTCTGACTGCAGCAATATAATGAGCATCTCATTAATCACTCATAAAGTTCCCCGCGGCCTCTGGCTGTCCTGTCTTTTTGTGAAGTTCATTTAAAAACCTTGAATATGCCATAGACCCCTTCCCTCCCCTCCCACCTCATTTAACATAAAATGAATATATGGTGCCTATATTTGTCCTTGGGCTGCAAAGTGTGAGATGACAGCAGGAGAGGCAGGGACGGTAGGTTTACAGAAAGACCTCGAGGAGCTCAGGCATCTTTGAGAAGATGACTTATGCGCGTGAAACCATTAAATCAGGGTAGTCCACAAAGGGATGGGGACTCACAAAGAGAAAAATCAAAGGATTCAACAACGTAAAAAAATATAAGGCAATAGCTCAGACTGTGTGATTCAGTGGTTGAGCATTGACCTATGAACCAGGAGGTCACGGTTTGCTTCCCTGTCAGGGCACATGCCCAGGTTGCAGCTCAATACCCCGTAGGGGGCATGCAGGGGGCAGATGGTCGATGATTCTCTCTTATCACTGATGTTTCTATCGCCCTCTCCTTTCCTCTCTGAAATCAATAAAAATATATTTTTAAAATAAGGTACTATAAAGTGCTTCTTGCACTGAATATTAAAAGTGAGAACTGAGAGCATGGTGCTACGGCAAGGAGGCAGTAGGGTGAGGCTGGGTGTAGGCACAGCACATGAGTGATGCTGAAGTTTCCTATAACCCACCCATCCTGCAGCCTGGCTTGGTTGGCTTGCTTGGGCAGGGGGGTAGGGAGGGGAGTGGGAGGGAGAAAGAGAAAGAGAATACATACAGACACACTTCCCAAGGGAAGGGGGAAAACACGATACAAGCAGGAAAAATGGCTAAGTTAGATGGAGAGAGAAAGGAATTGCAGTGAGGAGGAAATAAAAGGGTTGAGCGAGTAGTGTGAACCCAGAAGCTCAATAAAGGCAGCAAGAGGCTCCAAGGAGACCAGCCTAATCCTCTGATCCTCTCTCCATTCCTCTCCCCACAGACACCCTGACCTCGGGCCAGCCCTCTGCTGGAGGTCCACAGCCCCAGTCTGTGGTCACCACTTCTTCTAGCCCAGATGAACAGCCCCAGGACAACTCTGAGCTCATTATTTTTAATTCCTTACTCGAGGGCATGCTTTTATTGATTTTAGAGAGAGAGGAAGGAAGAGGGAGAGAAATAGAAACATCCATCAGTGGCTTCTTGCTGGAGCCTGACTGGGGATTGAACCCACACCCTGGATATGTGCCCTGAACTGGGAATTGAACCCAAGACCCTTCAGTGCACCAACTGAGCCTCCTGGGCTGGGACCAGGGCACCTATTGAATCTAGGAGCCCATGGCTCTTCTCCAGGGAACTTTTTGCTTTGGTCACACACAGAGGCCAGTCTACTATGAAGCTGGCAACGTTTAGGCTCCATGCCCTCACTCTTGTGGGCCCCGACTTCAGGGAGCTGTGGCCCTAGGCCCTAGGGGGAGGCCACACAAGCAAGAATGTCCTCCTGGGCAGGTATTTCTGACCTATGGCCTGAGGAGGCCTGAGCAGACAGAGATCTTGTTCTCTAAGGAGCCAGCAGCCTGTGACTTATTTTCCCATTCTAAATGAATACTTACTTACATGCTTCATTTGTGTTCATAATTTATGTATATTTTCCCTAAAGGCCCCTCCCCTCCTGAGTTTCTATGCTTTAAGTGCCATAAGCCCTGGGCCTGCCCCTGGTCCCACTTGTGATTTCACACAAGCTCTGCCTCCCAGGGACTGATGCTGTGGGCTCAGATAAGCGCACCTGGCATGGCCCCTCAGTGCAATCACCCACAGGTTTAGTTCTAGAAAATTCGGGATGGATCGGAACCTTCTGAAAAACTCTGGGAAGATAATGAGGGCGTGAGTTGTAATAGGCCATTGGGTCAAGTTCACAGACTTGAATTGATTTGGGGACTTGGGAGCAGGTCGAGTGGGGACAGGGATCTGGGTTAGAATGTGCAGTGGGTTAGGGCATTTCCTGATACCTGCCCCCGGGCCAGTGGCCGTGGCAGCCTCGCCTTTGCCACAAGCAGAGAGGCAGGTACCTTGGACTTGGAGATGCTCTCAATGTTGCTGGCCATGTCATCGATCTCCATCTTCATCTCGCTCTTCTCCTTCTCCAGCTTCTGCTTGACCCTCTGCAGGTTGTCGATCTGCTCCCCGAGCTCGGCCACACTGTCCGCGTGCTTCTTCCTCAGAGCAGC